ATGTGGACGACATCATATTTGGTTCTACAAATGCAAAACATTGATTCTCAGAGCTGATGAAAAGTAAATTTGAGATGAGTATGATGGGAGAACTCAGTTTCTTCCTTGGACTTCAAATAAAACAAACTTCAGAAGGGATTTTCATCAATCTGTCCAAGTATGTGACTGACCTTCTGAAGAAATACTCTCTCTCAAATTCATCATCGATGAGAACACTTATGGCTATAGGAGCTAAGTTATTTGATGGCTACAGGAGCTAAGTTATTTGCTGATCCATCAGGAAAACCTGTAGATGTAACAACCTACAGAGGCATGATTGGATCACTCCTGTATCTAACCGCTAGTAGACCAGACATTATGTTTGCTACATGTCTTTGTGCAAGGTATCAATCCAATCCTAAAGAATCTCATCTTTCTGCGGTCAAGAGGTTCTTCAGATACCTCAAGGGAACCCCTTCATTGGGTCTCTGGTATCCTAAGAACTCTAGCTTTGATCTAATAGCCTATACAGATGCAGATCTTGCAGGTTGCAAGCTTGATAAAAAGAGTACTCTGGAAGCTGTCATCTCTTAGGGGATAGGCTGGTAAGTTGGACATCCAGAAGGCAAAGTTGTGTTTCAACTTCTATAGCAGAAGCAAAATATGTTTCTACTGCTAGTTGTTGTTCACAAGTTCTCTGGATGAAGACTCAGCTTAAGGACTATGGCTTTCAATATGAAAGAAAACCAATCCTATATGACTCCAAGAGTGCAATAGCCATCTCTGCAAATCCTGTGCAGCATTCCAAGACCAAACACATCGATGTAAGRTACCACTTTCTGGAAGACAATGTTGAAAAAGGTAATATAGATATGTACTTTGTTCCCACTGAGATTCAACTTGCTGACATTTTCACAAAAGCTCTTGTTAGCTCTCATTTCACTTAATATAAAAGTATGGAAAAAGTAAATTCTGCAAGTGTTGACAGAAGAGGTTCCACCACAGAAGACCACAGAGGACCAACAACAGAAGGTGTTATATCGTACAAGTGAAGTGTGACAGAACCTCTGTTGTCTACCA